GGGTTCGAATCCCAGGATATGCCTGAAAAAAAGGAGAATTGAAAAATTTATAACATCCTATGCTTTTTTGCCGTCAGATATGGATAGCGCCAGGCGTGACACAAACAAACACACAAACAAACACCAAATTAAAGCTGTGTGGACCCTGGCTAGCGCCAGACGTTACTGAAGTAACGTCTTCTGCATAGCTACGGGAATAATTATTATTGTATAGCCGGTGGTAACGCGGACGTGCGAACTTTTCACTGGACAATGCATCGTCACATGAATCTGAGCAATTAAATTTTCTGGGTGCACACGAAAAAAGGCTTTAGCCTTTACACTGTTAAAATAATAATTTAATACCTGGTGTAGCGGAGAACAAGGGCAGAAGCAGCAGTGCCAGCGCTTGCACAGGGAACAACAGGTGGCAGTACACCACGGCCATTTCGGAGGCGAGCCGGTGTCAGCGGCACAGTTAGCGGTCCAGCTGTGTCGAAAGTAGTTAGTCTGTTGGATCCGTGACTCGGTGAGTGGTGTGGCAATGACTACGAGTATGTGGGCGAATAGGGATTGAGAGCAGCGGCGAGCTGTACGTCGCTCAACGAGGTTACTTCCAGCACCGGCTAATACTCAGTATTACTAATACTTACTTAGTAATAGACTAGTACAGCAGTAGAGTGCTGTTGTTGTTGGTACGGGCAGAAAACGAACGCTAAAATTAATCATTATCTGTCCACCCGCACTTGGGCGAAGGACATCCGGTCGCCTCTGCATAGGACCAGTACAATGACATAGCAAGAGCACAGTCATGTACTGTAGTCTTGTGCCGGTACTACCGGCGGTAGTACAATCAATGGTGTACATGTACTGCTACATGTAGCTGTATGGCCAGAACAATTTTTTAAAAATAATGTCCTCATGATTATGACTCATTGAACACTTGGCAGTCACTCACTACTACCAAGAGTTTAATAACCCAGGCCCAGGGGTTATAATATAGCAAGATGATTATACTCTTGCTGCTACTACTACACACTTGCGCCTTTCCCTATACAGTAAAACCTGTGAAGGGGACCACTTGGATAAGGCGACCACCTGTCCTAAAAGACCACTGAAACCAGGACCAAGGGATGCTATTTCCAGTCAAACGACCCCGGATAAGGAGACCACCTGGTAACCGAGAGACCACATTTTGAAGGTCCCTTGAGCGGTCGTCTTAGACAGGTTTCACTGTTCTTGAAATATTGACGATTGTGTGCATGCAGGCCAGGTCATGGTTGCTTCTCGATCTCTGGCATCTCTGGCATCTCAAAATCAATCTGCCAAGTACATCACGAGCACCTACTGTGTGATGTATTGTACACTAGTAGTACACTACTACAGTCCATTTCAAAACTATAGACGCGTACCTAGGCAAAAACCGTTATGCCAGCATCTATACCACATAAAATCTGAGATCACTTTGTGCATACATTTTTCCAAATTGGGCGTCTGTTATCCAATCGTTTAGAAACTCTATGAGAGTAATTGTGGAGCGATCCTGAGCAATATTCCGAAAACTATTCTCAAAAAGCTCCAGCCAAATTTGAAATATTTCAAAAACCCTACGCGTCTATAGTTTTGAAATGAACTGCAGTAGCGTCTACACTGTCAATGTCACTAGTGTCAGTAGTAGCCTGACACTGTCAGGCTGTGTAGCTACTGCACATAGGTCACTTCAACTTCAAGGACAAGGACTTACTGTATAAGTACAAAGTCTTCTTTGGTGGTCTCCTTATTAATCCAGGGTTATTTGTCTGGAAATAGCATTCCTTGGTGCTGGTTTCAGTGGTCTTCTAGGACAGGTGGTCGCCTTATCCGAGTTGTTGTTTGTTTATTTAGAGTCGAATGGTCGCCTTATCCGAGTGGTCGCCTTATCCGAGTTGTTGTTTGTTTATTTAGAGTCAAATGGTCGCCTTATCCGAGTGGTCGCCTTATCCGAGTTGTTGTTTGTTTATTTAGAGTCGAATGGTCGCCTTATCCGAGTGGTCGCCTTATCCGAGTTGTTGTTTGTTTATTTAGAGTCGAATGGTCGCCTTATCCGAGTGGTCGCCTTATCCGAGTTGTTGTTTGTTTATTTAGAGTCGAATGGTCGCCTTATCCGAGTGGTCGCCTTATCCGAGTTGTTGTTTGTTTATTTAGAGTCGAATGGTCGCCTTATCCGAGTGGTCGCCTTATCCGAGTTGTTGTTTGTTTATTTAGAGTCCAATGGTCGCCTTATCCGAGTGGTCGCCTTATCCGAGTTGTTGTTTGTTTATTTAGAGTCAAATGGTCGCCTTATCCGAGTGGTCGCCTTATCCGAGTTGTTGTTTGTTTATTTAGAGTCGAATGGTCGCCTTATCCGAGTGGTCGCCTTATCCGAGTTGTTGTTTGTTTATTTAGAGTCCAATGGTCGCCTTATCCGAGTGGTCGCCTTATCCGAGTTGTTGTTTGTTTATTTAGAGTCAAATGGTCGCCTTATCCGAGTGGTCGCCTTATCCGAGTTGTTGTTTGTTTATTTAGAGTCAAATGGTCGCCTTATCCGAGTGGTCGCCTTATCCGAGTTGTTGTTTGTTTATTTAGAGTCAAATGGTCGCCTTATCCGAGTGGTCGCCTTATCCGAGTTGTTGTTTGTTTATTTAGAGTCAAATGGTCGCCTTATCCGAGTGGTCGCCTTATCCGAGTTGTTGTTTGTTTATTTAGAGTCGAATGGTCGCCTTATCCGAGTGGTCGCCTTATCCGAGTTGTTGTTTGTTTATTTAGAGTCGAATGGTCGCCTTATCCGAGTGGTCGCCTTATCCGAGTTGTTGTTTGTTTATTTAGAGTCGAATGGTCGCCTTATCCGAGTGGTCGCCTTATCCGAGTTGTTGTTTGTTTATTTAGAGTCCAATGGTCGCCTTATCCGAGTGGTCGCCTTATCCGAGTTGTTGTTTGTTTATTTAGAGTCAAATGGTCGCCTTATCCGAGTGGTCGCCTTATCCGAGTTGTTGTTTGTTTATTTAGAGTCGAATGGTCGCCTTATCCGAGTGGTCGCCTTATCCGAGTTGTTGTTTGTTTATTTAGAGTCAAATGGTCGCCTTATCCGAGTGGTCGCCTTATCCGAGTTGTTGTTTGTTTATTTAGAGTCAAATGGTCGCCTTATCCGAGTGGTCGCCCTATCCGAGTTGTTGTTTGTTTATTTAGAGTCAAATGGTCGCCTTATCCGAGTGGTCGCCTTATCCGAGTTGTTGTTTGTTTATTTAGAGTCAAATGGTCGCCTTATCCGAGTGGTCGCCTTATCCGAGTTGTTGTTTGTTTATTTAGAGTCAAATGGTCGCCTTATCCGAGTGGTCGCCTTATCCGAGTTGTTGTTTGTTTATTTAGAGTCAAATGGTCGCCTTATCCGAGTGGTCGTCTTATCCGAGTTGTTTGTTTATTTAGAGTCAAATGGTCGCCTTATCCGAGTGGTCGCCTTATCCGAGTTGTTGTTTGTTTATTTAGAGTCGAATGGTCGCCTTATCCGAGTGGTCGCCTTATCCGAGTTGTTGTTTGTTTATTTAGAGTCGAATGGTCGCCTTATCCGAGTGGTCGCCTTATCCGAGTTGTTGTTTGTTTATTTAGAGTCAAATGGTCGCCTTATCCGAGTGGTCGCCTTATCCGAGTTGTTGTTTGTTTATTTAGAGTCGAATGGTCGCCTTATCCGAGTGGTCGCCTTATCCGAGTTGTTGTTTGTTTATTTAGAGTCGAATGGTCGCCTTATCCGAGTGGTCGCCTTATCCGAGTTGTTGTTTGTTTATTTAGAGTCGAATGGTCGCCTTATCCGAGTGGTCGCCTTATCCGAGTTGTTGTTTGTTTATTTAGAGTCGAATGGTCGCCTTATCCGAGTGGTCGCCTTATCCGAGTTGTTGTTTGTTTATTTAGAGTCGAATGGTCGCCTTATCCGAGTGGTCGCCTTATCCGAGTTGTTGTTTGTTTATTTAGAGTCGAATGGTCGCCTTATCCGAGTGGTCGCCTTATCCGAGTTGTTGTTTGTTTATTTCGAGTCAAATGGTCGCCTTATCCGAGTGGTCGCCTTATCCGAGTTGTTGTTTGTTTATTTAGAGTCAAATGGTCGCCTTATCCGAGTGGTCGCCTTATCCGAGTTGTTGTTTGTTTATTTAGAGTCAAATGGTCGCCTTATCCGAGTGGTCGCCTTATCCGAGTTGTTGTTTGTTTATTTAGAGTCAAATGGTCGCCTTATCCGAGTGGTCGCCTTATCCGAGTTGTTGTTTGTTTATTTAGAGTCAAATGGTCGCCTTATCCGAGTGGTCGCCTTATCCGAGTTGTTGTTTGTTTATTTAGAGTCGAATGGTCGCCTTATCCGAGTGGTCGCCTTATCCGAGTTGTTGTTTGTTTATTTAGAGTCGAATGGTCGCCTTATCCGAGTGGTCGCCTTATCCGAGTTGTTGTTTGTTTATTTAGAGTCAAATGGTCGCCTTATCCGAGTGGTCGCCTTATCCGAGTTGTTGTTTGTTTATTTAGAGTCGAATGGTCGCCTTATCCGAGTGGTCGCCTTATCCGAGTTGTTGTTTGTTTATTTAGAGTCGAATGGTCGCCTTATCCGAGTGGTCGCCTTATCCGAGTTGTTGTTTGTTTATTTAGAGTCCAATGGTCGCCTTATCCGAGTGGTCGCCTTATCCGAGTTGTTGTTTGTTTATTTAGAGTCAAATGGTCGCCTTATCCGAGTGGTCGCCTTATCCGAGTGGTCGCCTTATCCGAGTTGTTGTTTGTTTATTTAGAGTCAAATGGTCGCCTTATCCGAGTGGTCGCCTTATCCGAGTTGTTGTTTGTTTATTTAGAGTCAAATGGTCGCCTTATCCGAGTGGTCGCCCTATCCGAGTTGTTGTTTGTTTATTTAGAGTCAAATGGTCGCCTTATCCGAGTGGTCGCCTTATCCGAGTTGTTGTTTGTTTATTTAGAGTCAAATGGTCGCCTTATCCGAGTGGTCGCCTTATCCGAGTTGTTGTTTGTTTATTTAGAGTCAAATGGTCGCCTTATCCGAGTGGTCGCCTTATCCGAGTTGTTGTTTGTTTATTTAGAGTCAAATGGTCGCCTTATCCGAGTGGTCGCCTTATCCGAGTTGTTGTTTCTTTATTTAGAGTCAAATGGTCGCCTTATCCGAGTGGTCGCCTTATCCGAGTTGTTGTTTGTTTATTTAGAGTCGAATGGTCGCCTTATCCGAGTGGTCGCCTTATCCGAGTTGTTGTTTGTTTATTTAGAGTCGAATGGTCGCCTTATCCGAGTGGTCGCCTTATCCGAGTTGTTGTTTGTTTATTTAGAGTCGAATGGTCGCCTTATCCGAGTGGTCGCCTTATCCGAGTTGTTGTTTGTTTATTTAGAGTCAAATGGTCGCCTTATCCGAGTGGTCGCCTTATCCGAGTTGTTGTTTGTTTATTTAGAGTCGAATGGTCGCCTTATCCGAGTGATCGCCTTATCCAAGTTGTTGTTTGTTTATTTAGAGTCAAATGGTCGCCTTATCCGAGTGGTCGCCTTATCCGAGTTGTTGTTTGTTTATTTAGAGTCAAATGGTCGCCTTATCCGAGTGGTCGCCTTATCCGAGTTGTTGTTTGTTTATTTAGAGTCCAATGGTCGCCTTATCCGAGTGGTCGCCTTATCCGAGTTGTTGTTTGTTTATTTAGAGTCAAATGGTCGCCTTATCCGAGTGGTCACCTTATCCGAGTTATTGTTTGTTTATTTAGAGTCGAATGGTCGCCTTATCCGAGTGG